GTACAGAAGAGTCCAAATTAGGCATAATACATTGCCTATGTAACTGCTGTTCATCTGTATCATACAGATAAATTTGATAAAATTTCGGGCATGCAGGATTTTCTGGTAAAAGTATACCTATTTGGTGATACATTTCTCTATGGATTCGAAAAGAGTATACACTGCTAGTTCCTGTTACTTGCTCATCAATCTTTGCACCCATTGATGTAAACGTAAAAACTGAATTGTACATACGGATTTTGATTCGAAAATTTTGTGCACATGCATTATTTTCAGTTAGTAGAGAAAGTAAATTTGGAGGAGTTGGGGCCAATGATTGTAAATGCACCTTGCCTTTCGCACAGCATATGCTAAAGATTAGTTTCTTTACCATTCCAGAAACTTTTTCATCTTTCCAATGTAAAGCACCACAATGTGAACATTTAACATTCATAAAACCCAAATTATGCAATGGTACAACATTACTGTTATATTGATCCAAATGGGCTTTATAAGAAGCATAACTATTTATTTTTCTGCACTTTGCTCTTCATTCTTTAGCTTGTTCCATAGTTTCAGCAGCCATCCGTCTTGCATAAGTTTCTCAATCTCGTGAACATCACTGTAAAATATGCTCATTGGAGTGGATGACCTTTTTGTGTACATAAGCTTCTCTTCTAAGACAATTTCTACATTCATGTGCACTTTCAGTTGTTTTACCTGCAAGGTAAGTAGTTTTTGGTACCATTTTTCAGGAATAACTTTCTCTTGTTATTTCTGGATTTTCTAACCTATTATTGGACATTTCTGTCTCAGCTATTGCAAAAGACATATTATTAACTATTTCTATTTCAGCTAATTCATTGGTTGTATCTTCAGTTAACTCGAAAAACATATTATTATAAGATGTATTTATTTCAAAAGACATATTATCAGGCGTATTTAATTTGAAAGACATATTATTAGGTGTTTGTATTTTAGTTATTTCAGAAGACATGTTATAATTATTGCTGCCAACTTTAATATAGCAAAAGAGTGAATGCGAGATAGTAAAAGTGAGATAGTAAACATGAGATAGTAAAAGTAAGATAGTAAATGCGAGATAGCAAATGCAAGAGAATGAACGTGAGAAAAACACATGCACAAAACACCAATTACTTAAACTTCTATTACTTATAGTTATAGCTGCTATAGAGCAAGTGCATTTTATGAATACTCATCAATATAGGTATTGATTTAATCATATTAATTAAAAATTGATTAAAAAATACTGTATATTAAACTCATTATTTATACAGCAGACCTCTTGAATTATGTTATCGGGACCATCCTAAAAATAAGTTAAGTGTATATATTTAGAGGAAGCAAAATATTTATTTAAACTTGTAATTCTCATTATTTATAAAGCTATAAACTATAAACTTTATTTGATTATTATTATTATTTATAAAACTATCTTACTG